CCTTCGTAGGGCTGGAAGTTCAGCAGCAGGAAGAGGACAGGATATTCCTACAGTGAAGATTTCTAAAGAATCCAGCAGACTGCACATCATGGGTCATATTTCATTATAGCTAAATAACATTCATTAACTAACGCTCAGCTTTAACAGCAGTATCTTAGGGCTTTGCTCTGCACTTAAAAATAAGCACTCTTTATTGAGAGAGGTAAACAGGATGTTAATATTTTATTTTGTGCTTTGAATTTGTACATGAGGCTCTCCTATTCCATGGGGAGATCGTTAAATGTGTTATTAATTAGTCATATTTAGCGATTTCAACAGTTGTATATTTAAAAAGAGTGCCGCCTATTTAATTAGATTGATATTCTTCTGTAACAAGAGAACCAAATTACCTAAAAGCTCTATTATAAATGACATGTTTTATTCATCTGTTAGAGGCAATTATAAAGGTGAAAGTTTTCCCTGAGCACCTGTGTATGTACTGTAACGCTAGTGTGTCTTTATCTAATTTCTGATTTAAAATTTTCCTTTTTTTCTTGTTTTTTGTTGTTCATAGATTGACATTATTTATATAATTTATCCACAAGGGAATACATGGAGACACAGCTTATGTGATAATTGTATACAATACTAAATACTAAAACTGCCACATTCTAATGTATAATGTAACGCCATTTCCATTAAAAAAAAAGAAACCTTCTCCATTTCAGTTGTGTACATTGCAAATATGTTAGCAATATGTTATAGACTCATGCCATCATTCCCCTTGCTTCCTACTTCTTGTGTGTTAAATGGGACCATCTGCCTGCCATAGTCACCTGATCAGAGCCAGTGTTGTAATAAGAGATACACCGGCAGCAAGCCAGTCCCAAGAGCAGAAATGACACTCCCTGGAGTGTTGTAACCTCAAAATGTGTACAGAATGTTCTCAAATGCATGGTCCACTGTATACAAGCATATGGATGACTGCATTCCATTTTATACTGTTATCATTTAGAATAAAGGAAGAAACCCAGACATATTGCCCATTGTTATGTAGTGTCATCCATCATACCTGTTCAAAAGAACTGACATCTCTAAGGAAGGCTTGTTATACAAAGTACCAGCTATTTCACCATCAAGCCTCTTTAAAAATCATTTCATTAAATATAATTTTAGCACTTCACTGTTGTTAGTGCCAGTATTTTCCTGCTACATTTTGAATGACAACCTGACAAGAGTTGACAAGGACCTTAAAGATACCCCACTATGACAGATTCATCCACAGTATGTGGCAACTCTAGAACCATCTCTCCAATTGTCTGCACAAATATGTTTATCACTCAAAATTTCTTTAAACAGTAAACATTTCAAAGGAGTATTTTTATACACATTCTAAAACTGTAAACTCTTACCTTCCAAGTGTCTATCATATCAATCAGGAGATACAATTTTATATTTCTTAGTTTCAACTGGCTATTCTAAGAAATCCACACTTCAGTAACGATCAGTCATTTAAAATTAGTTACCTGAAGAGAAGAACTTGCATAAGAAATGTGGGTTAAACAAAGATATCTGTTTTTATGACAGAGAATGTTGTAACAATTTTTTCTCTATTTAAAGGAAGCTGAAATAGATTTATGTCAGTTGTATAGCATTTTATACATGTAAAACTGTTTTATATCTTTACTACATATATAACAATTCTGTTTTACAAGTACAAATTTATTACGGGGTCCACTGATAACTCTGATGTAGCATAATGTTATGGAATATTATGGTTTATACAAATGGAGAGCACACTCCTAGCTCTTTGAAGTTCAACTTTAATTGATCATCTGCATGGATCCTTCTGATAAGGTGTGATAAATTGAATGTCATACTGAATGCAATGCCACCCTTATTGCTCCAAAAATTCTCAATTCAGCAAACAGCAAAACAGTTTGAACAGTCATTTTCAGAGACAAGCAGATGATCATAAATCCCACTGAAACAGCTTAAGCTGGGGGGGGGGGGCATTATAAATTATTTCTAACCAGGGTCTGTACAATCTGGCAAGCCAGAGTGCTAATAACAGTCATTAGCCTATTCGGCCACAGACTCATAGGTATGTGTTGTAAAGCCATTTTTTAGAAGCAATGCATATTTGAGTCTGGCTCCACTTGACTAGATATTGTTATTGTTGTGCATCTCTAGCTTTCATACTATACACATAATCTTTTACATTCATAACACGTCTCTATCCAAAGGAATAGGAAAATAACTATCAGTTACATGCCAAACACCCCTATATTATGAGGTGCAGAAAACTGACACATTACCTCTTTCTAAGGAAGTCATACATAAGATATACCATGCATGATGTCTATTAAATCTTGATTTCATTCTGTGCAATAGAATTTTTCGTTGTTAAACTGTAAAACACAGTGATTTGTAAACATTGGTATAGTTAGAAAAACTGACATTGATGAAGTTCTGGCTAAAATATATTGAAATGCTTGATCACTCACACTTTCAGTCCTCTAAATTGAATGGGGTTGGCTGAGTGACACCCCTGAAGGGTCAACAAAAAAGCTGCTGCAGTTGGCACTTGATTGACACCTACAGAAGCCAATGAAAGCTTCAATTGGCACTTGATTTACCCTATTCAATATAAGTATGAGTATAAGAATAGACAAAAGGAGGCCAAACACATTATCAGTGCTGCCAAAACACAAAAAGAGAAGGAAATTGCTAAATCTGTTAAGAAAGGAGATAAAACCTTTTTAGGTACATTAATGATAGAAAGAAAAAATATGATGGGATCACTAAAATGAAAACTGGGCATAACACTTATGTTATGGGAGACCTGGATGTAGTAAACCACTTAAACAATTACTTTTGTTCAGTCTTCTCAGAAATAAATTATACTAATAATAATAAGTTGGGAAATCATATTGGTTCTACTAATGATGGTTCATTTTTAGGATTTCCAGAGACAGAGGTAGCAAAGGAACTGGCTCAGGTAAAGATTAATGCAGCTACGGGCCCTGATGGTATTCATCCCAGAGTTCTAAGAGAACTTCGAGGTCCAATTGTTGCACCATTAACAGATCTTTTAATCAATCTCTTCTAACAGAAGTTCCCCATGACTGGCACACAGGTATTATTGTATCTATCCAAAAGAAGGGCAGCAAGGTAGAACCTGGCAATTACAGGCCAGGGAGTTTAAAATCGGTTGTACAGTAATTAAGTTAATGGAATTACTCCTAAAAAGAAGGATTATTGATCACCTAAAAACACACCAGGGTGTGCTGAGGACATTAATTTCAGCAAGGCATTTGATACAGTTCCTCATAATGATCTAATACAAAAGTTGTACAAGCAAGCTAGGACTTCGCCCTTGGATGGTTCAGTGGATATGCAGTTGGCTAAAGGATAGATACCAGAGTGTGGTTGCAAATGGGGTTCACTCAGAAAAGAGACCAGTCACTAGTAGTGTACCACAAGGCTCTGTACTATGTCCTGTTCTATTTAATCTATACGTAAGTGATATAACTAGAGATTTGTTGGGTAAGGTATGTCTTTCTGGTGATGACACAAAGGTGTGCAATAGGGTTGATATCCCTGGAGCGGTTTGTAACATGGAACATGATCTGGCATTGCTGGAAGATTAGTAAAAAAAAGTGGAATTTGCAGTTCAATGTTTCTATATGTAAAATAATGCACCTAGGGAAAAAGAATCCCTGGAGAGAGTACAATATTGGGGGTACATTTTTGGCCTGCAGTACAGAGGAATACAATTTGGGGATACTTATTTCAGATGATTGCAAAATGAACAAACAGTGTGGCCAGGCAGTGGAGAAAGCAAATAGAATTCTAGGATGTATTACTAGAGGGGTCACCAGCAGGAGGAAGGAGGTCCTGACTCCCTTATATACAGATCTTTAGTTAGACCTCATTTAGAATACTGTGTCCAGTTTTGGAGACCTCACTTACAAAAAGATATTGATAAGATAGAATGAGTTCAAAGATGGGTAACAAAAAGGGGAGATATGATTGAAACCTTTAAATACATCAAGGGTGTGAATAAAGTTCAGGAGGGCAGTATTTTTGACACAAAACCAAAATCAAGAGCACGGGGACATGACCTTAAACTAACTGGAGGAAAGTTCAAAACTAATCTCAGAAAGTACTATTTTACTGAACAAGCAGTTGATACTTGGAATAAACATCCAGCAGAGGCAGTAAGCCAGTCAACAGTAAATAACTTCAAACATGCTTGGGACAAGCACAGATCTATGCTCAGACAAAAAGTTAACAAAAAAAACAACAAAAAAAAAAACACAAACAACAACAACCCCACCCCCCCCAAAAAAAAAATCCACACACACACAACCACTCGGTCTTTTTGTGCCGTCAATTTTCTATGTTTCTAAGGGTAGGACGGCGAGTTCGCTCCCTACCCTGAAATGAAAAATCACGAATATATATACTATATTGCCAAAAGTATTGGAATGCCTGCCTTTACATGCACATGAACTTTAATGGCATCCAGTCTTAGTCCATAGGGTTCAATATTGAGTTGCCGCACCCTTTGCAGCTATGGCAACTTCAACTTTTCTGGGAAGGCTGTCCACAAGGTTTAAGAGTGTGTTTATGGGAATGTTTGACCATTCTTCCAGAAGTGCATTTGTGAGGTCAGGCACTGATGTCGAACGAGAAGGCCTGGCTTGCAGTCTTTGCTCTAATTCATCCGAAAGGTGTTCTATCGGGTTGAGGTCAGGACTCTGTGCAGGTCAGTCAAGTTCCTCCACCCCAAACTCGCTCATGGTCTTTATGGACCTTCCTTGGTGCACTGGTGTGCAGTTATGTTGGAACAGGAAGGGGCCATCCCAGAACTGTTCCCCCACAGTTGGGAGCATGAAATTGTCCAAAATGTCTTGGTATTCTGAAATCTTAACCGAAATCTTCACCGAAACTAAGGGGCCAAGCCCAACCCCTGAAAAACAACCCCACACCATAATTCCCCCCTCCACCAAACTTTACACTTGGAACAATGCAGTCAGGCAAGTACCATTCTCCTGGCAACCACCAAACCCAGACACGTCCATCGGAATGCCAGACAGAGAAGCATGATTCGTCACTCCAGAGAGCACGTATCCCCTGCTCTAGACTCCAGTGGTGGCTTGCTTTGCACCACTGCATCCGACGCTTTGTTTTGCACTTGGTGATGTAAGGCTAGGATGCAGCTGCTCGGCCATGGAAACCCATTCCATGAAGCTCTCTATGCACTGTTGTTGTGCTAATCTGAAGGCCACACAAAGTTTGGAAGAATTTAGCTATTGACTCTGCAGTTGGCGACTTCTGCGCCCTGTGCACTTCAGCATGCTGACCTCGCTCTGTCATTTTACGTGGCCTACCACTTCGTGGCTGAGTTGCTTCCCCTTTGTTATAATACCACTAACAGTTGACCATGGAATATTTAGTAGCAAGGAAATTTCACAGATGGACTTATTGCACGGTACCATGCTTGAATTCACTGAGCTCCTGAGAGTGACCTATTCTTTCACAAATGTTTGTAGAAGCAGTCTGCATGTCTAGGTTCTAGATTTTCTACACCTGTGGCCATGGAGGTGATTGGAACACCTGGATCCAATGATTTGGAAGGGTATCCCAATACTTTTGGCAAAATAGTGTATGTGTGTGTATATATATATATGTGATTTTGCGCAGGGCAAGTAATAAAAACTATATCTATAATCGCTAAGATGAATCTCTAAATGTTTTATCTGGGAATGAAAGAACTTTTGCCTCTGTGAAGGCTGCATATTTTAAAACTTTACATATTTTTTTCTGGACATGGCAGTAAATCACTTTAAAAACATCCTTTAAAAACATGTGGTGCAACTACTGTTTTTGTATAAAGGGTTAATTGTGGAGCTAACTGACCCCTTAATGACTGCTGCTAATGCTTAGATTGTTCTCCATCAAGCTGGAAAAACTCTGCTCTCAGTGACAGTGCTGGATTTAGACCTTGGGTCTCGGAGCACTTCAAGTTCGAGGCCCCTCAACATACCCTGTCCTGAATTCATCCACTCACAGAGTCAGGAATCGTGGGAGTGTCAGATACACCCCTTGACCCAGTCAGGGTAAAGCAGGGGAGTAAGCTTCTCTCTCAATCTTTTCTCACTCTGATAAATTTATGCTGGGAATTAACCTCACTCTCACACGATGGGGTGTTGTCTGGCACTTTCCAACATTTTTCAAAATTTTCCCTTATCCCGCCAACTTGTCTCTTATAAACAAAGCAATAAATTCAATGGCACAGTCATGTTAAAACAAATATCTCTAATAGTAAAATAATATGAGAAGTTAAAATATAAATCATCTGCCAGAAGGTTTCCATATCCTGACATCCACACACATTGTTCATTTTTTTAAATAATAAAATTAATTTGATAATTATTACATTTCTTTTATAAAGGAAGACTGGAGCCTCCTCTGGCAGGGGGGCCGGGGGCAATTGACCCTTATAAATCCAGGCACTGCATAGTGAGGCTGAAAATGAAATCATTACACTCTTCTTCTCAAAAACTTAGTGGTGGTGTTTTGCTGTCCACAGAGATAGCTGGGAACAGTGATAACTGATAACAGTCCGCACAGGCAGAGTTTACTCGATTTTACCAGCTGACAAGATTTTTGTTACTAATTGAATAGATATAGAAAATGTTTTTAATATTACCATCAGTGGGCAAGTACAAGACATCACATGACACTCGTAGAGTGTAAGCTCCAAGGAGCAGGGCCCTCCTAACCCTCTTGTATTGCTATATTTTAAAGCGCTGAGCAAACTGTTGGCGCTATATAAATCCTGTATAATAATAATAATAACAATGAGGTCTCAGTATTATAGTAAATGTTTTTTGTAATATGATGGTGCTGGTCCCATCGATATTAAGCAGGGGAAAAAAGTGGAGCAGAAGGAAGGAAGTCATGATGTGTAATAAAAAAAAATGAGGTCAGGACTAAAGATCACCATGTTTTAGATGATCTTCATTTTCTTCTACAGGCCCAAAACCCTAAGAGACATGTTGGTTTTCCATACACTGTCAACTAAAAGCAAAAAAGCAGGCTGAGGTTTATGGTACATAATTTAATAGTACATTTTCTGTCTTCTCTGCAGGTATCCCTTAATTCACTTTTATATACTAGTAGAGTAGTAGAGGTTTGCTTTAAAAAAAACCCTTTAAAAAATGTAACACCTAAAACTATCCAGTACCTTTGACTGTAAGAAAATGGGAGTCATGGCAGGAGTTAAAAGATGGAAGTGTTTTGTAGAGACCTATGTGTTGAAACATGGAAAATGTTTCTTCCTCACAATTTTGTAAAATCCAAAGTACAATGTAGCATACTGTGAACACCCCCCCCCCCCCCCCAAAAAAAAAGAGAGAGAACAAATTGTGACTTTTGTGCTATCCTTGTAGTATTGTTTATTTCCTAACTCTGCTGCTGGCTTGCTTCTCCAGACAGACCAGGCAATTTACCTCAAGTATGAAAGTTAAATTTTTAATAAGGCTGCTCTGCTAGAAGATAAAACATTTTACTTGTGCTTCCAACAAACTGCTAGCGGAACAATGTTCCTGTGATCTCTGCTTGACTGTTTCTATTTTATTGTTTATTTCATAAAGGTCTGTGTTACTGTCCAAAAAAAAAAGCAAACCTGAAGTTGCTTTCCTCTGAATTTAGAATACAAAAGCTTTTATTTTCTTTGACTAAAAGAAAATATCAGGGTGATTTTAAGATTTCATTTTTTCATCCTTCAGCCCGGGTTCACACTGCTGCTGGCGGAATTCGCATTTGTTTTTCTGTCTGCGATTTCCGCACCGCATTATTATCGCACCCCATTCATACGAACTGCTGTGGGTGTGTATTTTAACTTAATGACCCCCCCGAAATCAGTTTGCAAAATGCGGTGCAATGTGCAGAATTGGAACGCATGGATGTGAACACCCATGCAATCCAATTCTGGTGCGAACAAAAAAAGGGTCCTGCAATTTTTTGGTGCAGATGCGGTGCGATTTGAGCCATACAAAATGCATGGCTCAAATTGCACCGCACAGAAATCGCATGTGATTTGCACAGGAATGCGGTGCGGCTCTTGTTCGAATCACATGCAATGTGCCGCACCACATATGTGAAACTTCAGAAAGGAACAAAAGTTCTGTTTAGTCTATGACAGGGATGGACTGACAACTCATGGGGCCCCCCGGACAATAGGGGATCATGGGGCCCTTTGTCCTCATCCACACTCAAACCACTCCCAAAAAAGCCTATGAAAGGTACCAGGGGCATCTCATGGGGCCCCCTAATGACCCCGGGCCCTCGGGCAGTGCCCGAGTGTCCGAATGGTCAGTCCGCCCCTAGTCTATGATGTACTGCAAAACCTCATAATGGAATTAGTAAATGGCTAATTAGAAGTCATAAATAGCTTTAGGCCAGAAACTTTTAATTAAGTACTGTCAGAAATTGCTATGTCTCTAGCAGAGCATTGAGCAGACCTTAATCCCTGTCATAATTCATTTAACAGAGCAGTTAAAGGAATACACATTTTGAGTCTGGCTCTAACTGACATCAATCTGCCCTTTTCATACCTTCATATTCCATAAATCCTGATATGAGAATATTAGAGTCATAACAAGAATTTATGCAAATATTTAAGTTACAATTGTTAAGATACCAGACATGTCCAGGCAAAAATGTTTGGATTTCTACACAACATTTATATTTTCATTGCTTTGGCTTCCAACATCACTTTGGTTCCATGTACACTGCAGCTGATAAACTCACGTTTAGGAGCTTTTCTGTTTTTTTTATCAGCAGCCCCTGAACTCTCCCTAATGTTTTCCTATGTGTCCATGTACACTATGTCATTTACAGTCATTTACAGGCAGTTGAGTTTACAGTCGTTTTTTTGAACGCACAAAACTTGCATTCAGGAGTAGATTTTATCAGCGTTTCAAACGCTAAATGCTTGTAAGCTTGCACAAACATGGCTAACCGCGTTATAAGCGTTTGCGTTTGGAAAATTTGCGTTTGGAAAATTTTTTTAACTCTTCCATTTCTAGATGCTGTCCAGAGCCTTTTGTCATCGTGAAAAATGCACGCAAAGCATTTTGCTGGTACTCAGTCGGAAGTGGTACACCATACTTTGTGGTTTCGCATGAAAGAAAATACGTTAGACAGATTAGACAGCTAATCTCATCAAATACAGCTCTTTCTGCTTTCTACTCTCCCTATTTCTCTCAAACAGTCTGAAATAGTTAATAATTTATCATTCTCCAGTGCATTCTGGGCATTTGGGAGGTTCTCCTGTGCTTATCATTAAAAAAACGCTTCTGAATGCAAACGCTCATAAACACGGCTAAATGCACATAAATATGGTATACAAATGCAGCAAAACTGACGTTTTTTAACCTGCATTTTCCTGCTGTCAATTTCCAGCGTTCAGAAGAGTTCTCCAAATGCACCATGTACACGGAGCCTTAGACTTAAACATTTGACACACATTTACTGAGGATCCGTGTCAGTCACTCTAGTAATATAGTCCATAACTGGTTCAGTATTGTGTCTTCTTTTCTTTTATAATTTTGAAAAAAATGAGGAGAAAAAACAAAAGATATTTACAGAAGACACCAGCATATAGCCTACTCACCTATTGTAATACATGTGCGCACATCATTGCTTTGCTGGACAAGTTTATTTTGGTTTCCGTTCCTATTTCATTTTCACGTACTTGTTTCATTAGTTGTTTTATATGTGGAAATTGATGTGTTGCTTCTGTGGCCCCATGCCTAAAGTGATTCTAAGTCTAAGTCTGGGTTCACCCTGATGCAGTGCGGAATTTGCAGTGTTTTCTGTGCGAATTCCGCACCGCATCAGAATCAAACCCTATTCATGCGAACTACTGCAGGTGTGTATGTTAAATTAGCAACACCCCAAAATCGGCCCCCAAAATGCGGTGCGATGTGCAGAATCAGATCGCATAGGTGTAAATACCCATACGATCCAATTCTAGTGCGGAACCAAAAAAGAGTCCTGCACCTTTTTGGTGCGGGTGCGGTAAGATGTGAGCCATACATAAGGCTTCGATCACACAGCACACAAATTGCATGTGATTTGCACAGGAATGCTGTGCAGTTCCTGTGCGAATCACATGCGATATACTGCATCGCAGAAGTGTGAACCTAGCCTGAAGGGTTTTTTTTTAACCTTAATGCATTCTCTGCATTAGGGTGAGAAACCTTCTACTGTGTGTTCCCTCCTCCTCCTCTCTAACACTTACTTTACTCCTGTATCAGTTCAGCACTGTGTTCAGATGCTGGTCTTCTCTCCCTCTCTTTGTGGTCTCACAGACTTTGCTGAGAACAGGGGGAGCCATTGGCTTCTAGTGCTGTCATCAAATCCAGTGAGTAGATGAGCAGAAAGCAGTAGGTGGGGCTGAGCCCTGTTGTGTTTGTCTATGGACACACCCAGCCTGGCTCGGGAGTGAGCCTGTATATCTACCCACATAGAAAGTTGCTTTCTAAAGAGGAGGAGTCAAA